CTTGATTCTACATATTTCTAAAACCCCAACACAACCAAGTTTGGCTGGAATCCGTCGTCGTTCTTGCACCCTCTATGCGATGCCATTGTGAAAAGCTTCTATTCATTCAAACCTGCTTACAAATGATCATGCAGTGGATGAAGGTCAAAACGACGACGGCCGTTCACCTCCAAACTTGTGGGTGCTTCGGGCGCGTTTTAGAATTTATGGTTTAGATCAATTCAACGGGAGCGGATCTATCCACGAATGCGCTCTAAATCATGTTGAGTTTTAGAGGGCTCGTCTATAGCCGAGTATATCCCCTCCGTATGACAGGATATCTCACTTAAGCAACTTCTATAGTTATTATAATATAATCATACGTATAATAATATATATTATATATATGATAGTATATTAGTAAAGGTGAATCTTTATAGGGCTCGCACACCCTAGCCGCTATCTGTTTTAGCCCACCTAAGATGCGGCCTACTATGAAATATAACATCATTTCCTAAATTTTTTTTGCGCGATCCACTCCGCTTAACACTTGACTACACGTTCTTAAATCCCAAACACACAATATTTGGGGTGAACCCGTTTGTGGGTGACCTTTACTCCAACTCGCCTCCGCTAATTCTTAACCGAGGTTTTCGAATAATAGAACTTTTTGCACGGCCGCATCAACTTGAATGTCAAACACAACGGCTGTTCACCCCAAAACTTGTGTGGTGTATTGGGTTTAAAGAACGTTGATCAAGCTTTCAATGGACGCGGATTCGTTAAAGAAAATTATGGAATATGATGTGATTCTAGGCCGCATCCTTAGGCTGCGGCAGCCTATGGAGGATGTCACCTTAGATTCACTTTTCGCACTATATATATATATTATATTATATATATATTATATATAATATATACTATATATTATATATATATATATTTACAAAACTCTGCTGCATGTGAGTTATTTTTAACCACACTGGGTGCTCCGATAGGATTTTTTACTCGATGAAGCATACTATCACGAGCAACAACTGAGAACAGTGTTAATTAACTGTTGCAAAGGACAAGATTTAAGTACCCACATATTTTAACGAGAAAATTAAGGTGAGATAATTTGCACATCGTGATTTAGTAATGAATTAAAATGAATAAAGAATTCCCTTGGAGTCATGTTTCGGAAATTGTCTTCAGTCGTTAATGTGTCTCGTCCTGGGGTCCCGATTATAAAAGCATTATTTAGGTGAACTAAGGTTAAGTTTGGCATTATTGAAGCTTATAGTAAATTTCTTATAAAAACAACTTATAAAAGTAATTTATATAAGTCGTTGAAAATAGTTTCTTAGTAACTAAATATAAAAATTGCTTGAAAAATAGTTAAGATTTTATAGATGTGTAATTAATGATATTGTTAAAAGATGAATGATATTTATAGTATATAAGCTAAAAAGAGTATAACCTTCTTTTATTTGATAATAAAGTAGAACCTTCTTTTAAAAGCATCATCATATTGCTTCTAAACCCACATCTTTAAAAAGTAGAAGCATTTTTAATAAGTATATCAAAAAAATTCACCAAATACTATTATTAGCTACTTATTGAAAATATGAACAAAAACACTCTAAAAAAGCAATAACAAATCAGCTCTAATACTATTAGCTAATCTTATATGTTTCCATAATTAAAAGTATTTTTAATATTGTTTAGATAATAAGTATCATTTTATGGAGACCACTGAATGAAAAGTTTTGATTAATGAGTTATAGAAAAGCTCTAAGAATATAGAGGATCTCTTCCCCCTTCCTTGTGGATATGCTTCCAAAGTTGATTTTTTTAATTACATGTAAACGTGAGTACGTGTTCTTCTCTTGTTTCTGCATATAAACCCTTCAATTATTTTATATTTGCAGATTTACTTTCAAAATTGATACTTTGCAAAATTACTGCACAATTCTCCCACATTAAATTTTTCTATCCCTCCTATTAACAATGTTACATTTTTATTTAACATGATGCCAAAAGCTTTCCAATAGATTTGCAATTTCTCGTTTTAGAAATTAAAATTGTTGTGTGGGTGGCATAGAAAAATTCAGAGAATTAGAAGTAATTTTGTAAATAAGGACCTCTTGTTTTACAGTTGAACCCACAGTTTCCCTAGGTTGTGTATATGCGCAACGGTTCTCGGGAACTACAAAGCTTTTAGATGACTAATTTTGCTTTCTTGTTTGTTAGATTTTAAAAAATTAAGCTAGAACAAAATCTTATCATACTAGAGCTTAAATTCTTTCTTAATTAAGGCCCCAAATATTCATGTTTCTAATTTACACTCCAAACGTGTCAATTTCCTTAAATAACACGTGCTCCTTATATTTGACAGTAGCTAGTCAGTTTTTATATTGTTTGGATAAAACATAATAAAGTCACTGTGTAATTAGAAGGATGAAGATCTGAGCGCACGATGTAAAATTAGGAAAATTTTGGTTCTAAAATGATACCTTAATTAATAGAATTGGGGGTCAAATTAACGGATTTGGGGTGCTGTTTAGATATATGACGAAGATCGGTGGTCTAATATAGAATTAGGAAAGAATTGAAGGTGTCTAATATAACAAAAAACCATTTTTTTAGGATTAGGACCCTTTCCATTACCAAAAAAGAAGTAGAAGAACCACTACATAAATACAACATGATATTTTTTTTGAGTGCAAATTAGAAATGAGTGTAATACATGAGGTTGGTAATTAAGTGTTAGATATGGAATGCATTATAATCATCCACTAGATAATTAAGGAACTATTTGGTTAGTGGATTGTATTTTGGTGCATACTATGAGTTTAGAAAACCCTATACTCAAGATTTTGTTCGTTTAGGATGAATTTTAAAGTGTATATGTATGAGAGAGAAAATTCAACCAAATTTTGTTTGGTTACACATGCATTTTATTGAGGATATGTGACTAAAATCACAAAATCGAGTGAAATTAGCATAACTTTTTACAATCACATTTGATGCATTGATTTTACATGTCAAAACCCAAAATTCGTGACATGAAAAGTGACAAACAAATAATATATATGATAATAATCTAGAATTTTAAGCTTATGGGTCCCCTTCTTTAATGCAAAAGCAACTAGATGCGGGTAAAATGCTTGGATGTATCTCACATGTATATATCTGTCATTTTCAGTTTGCAATTTGCTCCCAAAAATCCAACTGCATAAATTGAAACAATTACAGGTTAGCGACAGTGGAGCTTTCGATCTCTCCCACGACTACGCCAACTCTAGACTCACCGAAACAACAATCCTCGCACACCGATTCCTCAAAAACGTCTTCCGAACAAAAGAGCTTTTTGCATGCCGAGTCATCCAAATGCTCGTTTCAAGCCTTGTTCTTGGCTCCATCTTCTTCAACCTCAAGAATGATCGCATTGGTGCTAGCGAACGTGTTGGCCTCTTCGCCTTCATCCTCACCTTCCTCCTCTCTTGCACCACCGAAGCTCTCCCAATATTTCTTCAAGAACGTGAAATCTTGATGAAGGAAACTTCAAGCGGTACATATCACATATCTTCCTACGTCATTGCAAACGCACTAGTCTTCTTACCATTCCTCCTCATTCTGTCTGTCCTCTTCTCTGTCCCTGTCTACTGGATAGTTGGTCTGCACCCGAGTTTTGACTCGTTTCTGTTCTTCATACTTCTCATATGGCTCATCCTTTATACTGCGAATTCGGTAGTCGTGTGTATCACTGCACTAGTACCCAACTTTGTAGTAGGGAATTCGATGATTGCGGGTGTGATGGGGTCGTTCTTTCTATTTTCCGGCTATTTCATATCGAAGGAGGCAATGCCAAGCTATTGGGTGTTTATGCACTACATCTCCTTGTTTAAGTACCCTTTTGAGGGGTTGCTGGTGAATGAGTTTGGAGGGAAGGGGAGGTGCTTGGAGTATAAGATGGGGGTTTGTTTGTTGGATGGGGATAGTTTGTTGAGAGGGCAAGGGTTGGGAGAGGAGAGGAAGTGGAGGGATGTGGTGGTGATATTGGGGTTTATAGTAGGGTTCAGGGTGATGTCCTATGTTATACTTAGGATAAGGTGTAAGTTGGATCAAAAGGGTGGGATTAAAAGAAAATAAGTTTGAGAGAGGTGTGAAAATGCCACCTATACAATAATAAAGATGAAAAGTGCGAGTGTTACTGTTGGTATAATTCTTTCTTTCTTCCTCCTCTCTTTTTTTTGGGTCGTTTGTGGGAATATAGTTTTACTACATGCTTTTTTGCTTTGGAGAAGTGTATTAAATATTTGCATGTAACTGCTTACAATGTAGAATTAACATGCAACCAAACTTGTAAATTAAATTTAATCGTTTGTTTGGATTATTATATCATGTCTCTTTTCTTCCTCCTCATAGTATAGAGTTGAGGTTCGTTTGGATATGGCAAACCAATATATCTTCCTTAATTACAAGTGAATTTACATGTATCAGAAAGAGAGCAATCTTTATCAGTAATTTAGCAACAATTAAGGGTTTCTTAATTTATTTGATTCTTTTTCTCTTTCTATCTTTTCCTCGACAATACCGAAAGAGTTCAATGAAGATAACAAAGAGGTGCGCGGAAGAATAATCCCAAACAACAATTTGGTCACAATTCGAGAGTCACCGCATATCTTGTACTGCACCTCTTTGTTTTCCAAGGTTCCTTCGTCAAGCCCTTCTCCCAATATTTGAACAACATTGACATAACTGTTGAGGTGATTAATATGTGAGTATAGTCTCACATCGGATAAGATAAGAAAGAGTGATGAATTTAAATAGGAGTTTAGGTTAATACCTGATAGCTATAGCTTTTGGGTTAAAATTGATTCCTAAGTTCTGTTTAAGGCCCATCAACTCTAGATTGAGCCTGATTTCTTCCCCAACAAGTGATATCAGAGCTAAGATCATGGTCCAAGTAATTTTAAAAAAAAAATAGATGATCTTCGATGTGAAGCCCGAAGGCGTCGGGAGAATCCACAGATGACCATATGAGTGATATAGTCTAGTTAGCCACCATGAGTGAAGTGGTGGAAGTTCCTACGGATGTTTGATAGCTATGTGTTGAATGCATGGTTTGGTTAGCTCACGAGTGGAGTGCTGTAAAAGTTTGTGAATTGGTTAGCCCACGAGTGAAGTGGTCCAAAAACTTAGTGAATTCTGTGAAAGATTGAATTATAGTTGAATTGAACCATACTCACAAATTAAGGGAGAGTTATTGAGGTGATTAATATGTGAGTATAGTCTTATATTGGATAAGATAAGAAAGAGTGATGAGTTTAAATAGGAGTTTGGGTCAATACCTGATAGCTATAGTTTTTGGATTAAAATTGATTCATAACTTCTGTTTAAGGCCCGTCAACTCCAGATTAGGCCTGATTTCGTCCCCAACAATAACAACATGACTTGGCAATGTGGATATATGATTATACACTTGCCCAATGAAGCTCTATTCCCTAGATGACAGGAAATAAATTTCATGGAGTTTGATCCTATAGTCAATGCACATTATGCTTTCATTAACTAGTTGGTACATGTTAAACAATAAAATATTATAAATTTTTATTTATATTTTAAAAGTTATAATTACACCTCTTTATATAGGGATTTAATAAGAAGAAGTTTATTGTCTGGTCAATATGAGAATAAACATAATTACCTAATCACAATTATTCTTTTAGTTATATTTCTAACATAACTATAATATTATAGATCTCCATAATATATTCCTTAACGTTATTCCTCAAGCTGGAGCATGTATATCATACATGTCCAGCTTTACATGCTCCAGCTTATTACAAAAAGATGCACTCGCTCCAATTTGTGACACGACTTAAAAGGTTGAAATCTTTTGTGTGACCTTTCTCATCGTCGTTGTCTTCATCTTGTAGTTTTCTGCTTGAACGTCTTCCACCACGAACAACCTCAGCCAAAATCACCGGATGTGATACCCTAATCTTCTTCACAGATCGATTAGGGAACTACCAAACAAACGATCCTTACGAGGGATCTACCATGTAGATGATCCTCTTCAGGGATCAACTAAACAAATGATCCTCATCATGGCTCCACCAAGCAAACGATCCACTTTAGGATCAACCAAATAAACGATCTTCTTCATGGATCAAGTAAACAAACGATCTTCACTAAGGATCAACCAAACAAACTATCCTCTTCATGAATCAACCAAACAAATGATTCTCTCTAAGGATCAACTAAACAAACAATCCTCTTCATGGATCAACCAAACAAACGATCCTCCCTAGAGATTAACCAAATAAACAATCCCCTTCATGAATAAATCAAAAGAACGATCCTCTTCGGGATCTAAGAAATAATTCTTTAGGGGCCTGCCAAATAAATGACTCCCCTTTAGGCATCCACCAAATAAATGAAGTTGAGAAAATAATCTTAATCGAACCAAACTCCAAACAAAATCCTGATTCAATCAAATTTTTTTCCAGTGTTCTAGAAGACAAGCAGTGAAGGCGGTAGTTTCAACAAGTTGCATAGGTGGTATGAATGAAGGCAAATCAGGGTGGCATAGGTGACAACGAGAACATGTATATTGAGGATGACTATTGCCATCAATAATAACAATCTTGATCATCAACGAGTCCATCAAAAGCAGAGCGAACATGAAGTAAAAGCATTATTCATGGTAAACAGAAATAATGATACTATTTGCGGAGAATAGTTATCGCGTCACTTTTCACTGTGAACAGTAGACGATCACTTACTATTCACAGTATTGTTCACGGTAAACATTGTTTGGGTCAAAAGTTGATGTTTTCATTGCTTTGAATCTATTATAACTTTAATCGTTATAATAAACTCAAATAAACGAGAAAAGTAGATCTTTTTATAAGATCGACTTATACAATGAAAATATAAAATAGTACAACTCTTGTCAAACAGCACAACAGATATTTATCATCCGCTGCTTGCGTGGGAACTTCGCCTGTGCCGGGGACGTTAATATTCGTGGACCATCGCAGATCAGATCCAGTTGACAGATTAAGTTAATCAAAACTCTTACTTCACGAAGGAAGTAATCTCTACAGCGATAATCCCGACCAAGCGAGATTACGGCTCTTCTCGAGATTAAGACTAAGCTTAAATCCGGAGGAATAGGGGACGTGTCTCAGATCTCTCGAACTCCACTCTTTATGCATAGGAACTCGCTAAGATCTGCTAACCCTCGCTATAAATTCGTGGCTCCACTCTCCAATTCTATCAAATCAGTTGGGAACCCCTGGAACAGATAAATCCCAAGAAAACCACTTAAAACCGTCGAAAACGCATTTGGGGATCAAAACAGCATGACGGGCCCTGCTGACCTGTGGGGGGCGTGGGTCGGAGCGGTCTGACCCGCGCGGGCGCGGGTCGGCTCGTGCTGTCCCGCCGTCGCGCGGGTCGGTTCGGTACTTGGGCATTCGTTCCGTCTTTTTTGTTTTGTGTATTCGGTCGTCTTGTTGACTTGTTCACTTTGCTAACTTACTTTATGTACTCGTTAGCTTCTTTATGGTTTTTTGAGCTGACCGACAAGCACCTTGGGCACTTTGGATCTGACCGACAAGCGCATCGGGAACTTTGGATCTGACCGACAAACGCGGCGGATACTTTGGAACTGACCGACGTGTGGGAGCTGGTTGACGAGTGCGTTTGGTCACTTGAAGCTGACTGACGCGTGCGGGTTGATCGACAGGTGTGACGGCCAACTAGAGGTGGCCGGTGAGTGCACGAGACACAGTTGGTTCGCTATTCCGGTTCATGCACTTGTCAGTGTCAGATAATCCTCTTAGACTCAGATAACAGCGTTCATCAAATATTCTCCGTCTGGAGCTACATACGGACACCTATAGGTATTTTTAGACGCCTACAGATACCCCCTCCAAAATATTTCAGACTCATTATTTTATAGAAGAGTCTGGAATGCTTTGGATAAGATAGGCCATTTGCTCAATCTCGTAGAGGAACCTATCAACTGCTTTAATTCTTGACTTCTTCAGCCTTTAGTCTATTCAGTGTTTTGTCAAATAGATGAAGTTCTTTCGGCGCTGCGTTTATCGTCTGATCGTTGTCGAAATCTTGAACTGAAGTTGAAGCGTAAGTTTCTGAATTTAGCTCGTGTCATTGAGTTGACTTTGAACTAATCATCTTCATCATAAATTCACATCTGAATGCGATTGAACTCCCTGAAATTATTATTTGCCTTATTTTGGCAAAATTGCTGATACGTTGACTGGCATCAACCTTTACTGTGGCGCGTTGACTGGCGTTATCCTTTGCTGTAACACTTTGACCGTCGTTAACACAGTTTACACTCGTACGTTTGCTAGAGTCTGCACAGTTTAATCTCTTAAGGCATTAGAGCGTGACGGTCCCAAATGTTAGGGCTATAGGACCAACTGTTAAAGCTGATTCATCTGCATGTATGGCTCTTATTCTGAAGTTGTTGGATGCTCAAGTCACGAGATCAACTAATGGGGCTGGTGTGTTAATTACTCTCACATTTATAGGATTTTTGGTAAACCCTCAGCCATCAACGGGTTTAATAAGCATTTACCAACTACCGTTTGAGTCGGGCTAGCATCCGAATTGTTTAAGTCCGTTCCGCATGTAACGTTGTGCTAAAAGAGTTAACTCTTTTAGTGCTACGATATTGAATACGTAGACTTCATCTTTTTCATGGGAATAGACTATTCGGTCATATGTATCAGATGCAGACTCAGGATTTTTGGCAAATCCTCAGCCATCAACGGATTTGACGTGCCTTTACTGATTACCATTTGAATCAGGCTTTCATGCGGATTGTTTAAGTCCGTTCCGCATGTGACGTTGTGCTAAAAGAGTTAACTCTTTTAGTGCTATGATATTAAATACGTAGACTTTGTCTTTCTTACGGGAATAAACTACCCGACAACGCGTGTTAGGCACTGACTTATCCCTTCTTAGGATTCAGGATAAAAGTCCCTAGACTTGGATTTTGGTGTCTTTTTCAATCGGTGAATGACTAAACCGAAAACGTGTGTTAGACGTTGACTTATCCCTACTTAGGATTCGGGATAAAATTCCCCGTACGTGTGAGGTACGGATTATGATGTTATTAATAACAACCTGCCACAATATTAAATATGTGGGCTTTTGTCCTTTTTAATGTTAAGGACTAACCGGCAACGCATGTTAGGCGTTGACTTATTCCTACTTAGGCTTTGGGATAAAATTCCCCGGACTTGGATTCTAGTATTTTTTTTAATCGGTGAAAGACTAAATCGGCAATGCGTTTTAGGCATTGACTTATCCCTACTTAGGATTCGGGATAAATTTTCTCATACGTATGAGACACG